GGGGGGGGGGGCAAGGGGAAAAAATGTGGGGGACATTTGTAATACTCTCAACAATAACAATAAAGATAAAGATTACTGGTTTTAGCATTCCAAACCATATACATATATATGTTTAAATAAATTATTTATTATCTGACAGTTAATAAAGGCTCCTTTTTGTTTATTAATACTTGTATGTTCAAGTATGGCTCGCATTCAGAGTATAACTTTTCTGTTGACTATGTCTAAAGATTGCCCTTTGATTTGTAGCCCAAACTACTTTTACTTAGAAGTATAAAGCTTATATATAAGAATAATATTTAATGTTTTTTGGCTCATTTAAATTTTTATAGTCTCTGAAGTTTTATATCTAAACAGTGCTTTGCATTAATGTGTATTGTGCTTTTGTATTTCCTAGGAGGGTGAACAGGATCAGCTTATAGCTGTGATGTATTTTACACTAAAGGGATAAAAGCAAAATCAACAAAAAAGCCATAAAAAAAGAAGGAAATCCTTCCATTTGTAATAGTGTGGATAGATCTTGAGGGCATTATGCTAAGGGAAAATAAATCAAACAGATAAAGGCAAATACATGTGATCTCACTATGTGTAATCTTAAAAATAACTCATAGATAAAGAGAACAGATTGGTGGTATCCAGAGGAGGGAGATGGGGGTGAGTGAAAATGGGAGAAAGTAGTCAAAAGATACAAACTTTTGGTTATAAAATAATTAAGTCCTGGGGATGGACTGTGCAATGTGGTGACTGTAGTTAATAATACTGTATTGTATATATGAAAGTTAAGAGAATAGATCTTAAAAGTTCACATTATAAGAAAAAAATTATAACTGTGTATGGTGATGGATGTTGAATAGGAAAAAAACTTGGAAAGTGTGAAGTTTCATGTACTGGTATCTTTATTACATTGCTCTTTATATTATTGAAGACTTGGAAATAAACTAAATTCCCAGCACTAAGGGATCTTTTTTTAAAAAAATTTATTAAATTTATTGGGGTGGCATTGGTTAATAGGATCATATAGGTTTCAAGTGTACATTTCTTTGACACAAGATCTGTATATTGCACTGTGTGCCCACCAGGATCTTAATCGATGCATATTCTCAAATTTCTGTTACTGCTGTACCTTCTCCATTTTGCTGCTTTGCAGGTCCATGTGAGCTATTTAATATTTTCTTCTAAATTGGCTTTTGCTATTAGAGCAAGAAAAGCTTAAGTCTGTGTTATATTTATTTAAAATAATACATTTAAATAAATGCATAATTAAGGTGAAGATGCTTGTCTGTGTAACATTCAAAGTCATTTTATGTACTCTCTGTAGTGTTTGTACCAGTCATGAGGAAAGCCCTGGTTAGTGGCACTTGCATACTACCAGCCTTTAGAAATGATGATGTAGTTATATATTTGACTTAAAAAGATGTTTCTTTTTAAATTAGGTGAGAAAACAGTATGCTTTATGCATTTAATTTGTAATAAATTGATATTGTAATCTATAGGCTTATGTACTTGGAATACCATACACTAAAATATTAACAGTGGTAATGGCTCAATGATGGGATTATGGGGAATTTTTAAAAATAGGTTAATTTGGGGTTGTTTTCCTCTTTTTAAAATATCTTTTGTTCCCCTTTTTTGCCAATATTTACTTTTACTCTTTGTTTTCACTACTATTTACTTTTGCTCTGTGTAAAACAGGCTATTCAGAAAGGGAATACAGAAGTTGCAAGAATACATGCTGAAAATGCAATCCGCCAGAAGAACCAAGCAATTAATTTCTTGAGAATGAGTGCTAGGGTTGATGCTGTGGCAGCCAGAGTTCAAACTGCAGTGACAATGGGCAAGGTAAGGTTTAATATCTCTAAAAATATCCTCATCTGAGGATATTTTTTCCATTGCTTTTAGAGAGAGTAGAAGGTGTGTGTGGGGGGAGAGAGAGAAACATCAATGTGAGAGAGACACATTAATTGGTTGCCTCCGGCACGTGCCCTGATGGGCCAGGGATTGAACCTGCAACCCAGCTACATGCCCTTGACTGGAAATTGAACCTGTGACCCTTAAGTGCATGGGCCGACACTCTAACCACTGAGCACACTGGCTAGGGCAACAGCAGGAACTCTTGATGTAAGTTTAATGAGAGTATTAGGAATTGCCAGAAATCTAAATCCATTTCAAGGTGCTGTAGGGTGTTAATAAAGGCCTTTATGGGCAAGAGAGACATAGTCAGAGTGCTTAGTGAGGAAAATGATTTTGGCTGTGGCTTTTAAACTAAAGTCTATGAATTGTCTTTCAATGAAGAGTCAAAGACCAAAATACATATTGTACTTTTATTATTAAGAAAAAGGTAGCCCGGCCGGGCGTGGCTCAGCAGTTGAGCATCGACCTAGGATCCAGGCGATTGGGGTTCGATTCCTGGTCAGGGCACATGCCTGGGTTGCAGGCTCGATCAATGACTCTCTCATCATGAATGTTTCTATCTCTCTCTCTCCCTCTCCTTTCCTCTCTCTAAAGTCAATAAAGATATATTTAAAAAGAAAAAAAAAAGAAAAAGGTAGACAAATTTTATAAGTTGATCTGTAAGTAATATATTTAAGAGACTACCTAAAATTTGAGATTACTTATAGCATGCTCAATCTTTTTTTTTCGTACTCCCAATAGGTAACCAAGTCTATGGCAGGTGTAGTTAAGTCTATGGATGCTACACTGAGGAGTATGAACCTTGAAAAGGTAAAAAAATTATTTTATGTTCAGATAGCATCTTTTCAGTGTAACTTTTTCTTATGACCATATTTCTTTTTACAGATTTCTGCCTTGATGGACAAATTTGAACACCAGTTTGAAACACTGGATGTTCAAACACAACAAATGGAAGACACAATGAGTAGCACTACAACCCTAACAACACCACAAGTAAGAATAGTTTCTTTACTTAGAATAACTTTTTAAAATTACCTGAGTTCAAAATATAGTGGCTTTGTGAGCCAAAATCATGTCTAGAATGTGAAGTAAACATGGGGTAGCCTCAAAATGCAAGTAGGAAGTTATGCTCTGCCCCTGGATTCCTGAGGACCTGTTGGAAGATGCCATTCCCTATCTTATTTTGAAGTTCTAAGAATTATACTAGGTCACATGTCTAGAGAGTTTGGTTCTACCTGGGTGCCAGTGTTCCTTACTGATGAAGGCATTTATCTAGAGGCTCACTGAGGCCAATAGGTATTGGGTATTGTCCTAAGCCTCAGCAAATTCATCTCATTGCAAATATTTTTTTGCTTTCTTCCTACTCTTTAGGTTGTGTTATTTTTGCACAAGTCACAGGTGAACAAATAGTAAATTACAAGGTCAGTTATTTTTCAGAAAACTACGATGTTTTCTAAACCTGCAACTTAGAGATGTGCTACAGAGAAAATTAAAATTTGAAAATATTTTGCATGTGACACGAGCCAGAAACAAAGTTTTGTGAAATTTAGATATTCACATAGAAGATTTGTTTTGTTATCACTCTTTTTGATCCCGATACCTATCACATGGTTAATCAAATGAAAAAGAACTTGGTACTACTACTTTGCTAATATGGAGAAAATGTAATTTACAGAATAGGAAGAAATTAACAATTGTCCATCAATATTTTAATGCCAGTGACTCTTTTTACAAAAAGGTAAATAATAAGAGAACAAGCTTATATTTAGGTTTTAGAGTAAAGAAAGAATTCATGTGTATGTTTATAGTGAGCATATATATTTAGCCATTACTTTTATACCTTCTCTAGAACCTTGATCCCCAAAATGTGGTTCAGGAATCAAGAACATTTGTATCATCTGGAAGCTTATTAGGAATTCAGAAATTTAGACCCCATCCACAGACGTACTGAATCAATCATTTTAACAAGATTCCCAGGTGAATTTTATGTACCGAGTTCGAGAAACACTGTCTTGGAGTTTCTGATTCTTATGCAAGCACCTTAGGTGATCCCCAGGTGATTATAAGCTGTTCAGATAGCATCTTTTCAGTATAAGTTTTTCTTATAACCACAAGTTTGTGAAACACAAATGAATTGGAATAATGACTTGAAATCAGGAACACTTGGATTTCACTCTACCACTAATTAACTTTGGGAGCTTAAGATATATACTACCCTGGGCCTCAGTATATTTAGCTGTAAAATGTAGAGGTTGGATCCAATGATATTTAAATCCCTTTTACCTCTGAAAAATCTTCATTTATTCACCCAACATTTGCTGAACACCTTGTGCTTAAGGTATTGTGCTAGGTGCTGGGGATAGTCAAATATATACAAAACATTCTTCATAAAAACTCAATCAAAACTTACAACAGAAACAGAAGAATTTGGTTTAACACAGTTCCCAAATTTTCATACCCTGCTAATGAGCAGGTAGAATTTAAATTGGCATATCCACTTTGGAAAAGCAATTGGTAATATCTACAGTCTGTTTTTAACGTAACAGCCAGAGTGATCCTGTTAAAACATGTCAGATCATGCCACTTTTCTGCTTAGAATCCTTTAGTGCCTCCACATCTCCTTAAAAATAAACGCCAAATCCCTTACAATGGCCTGTAATGCCCTATAGGATCTGCCTCTCTCTGCTTCTCTTACCTTATCTCCTGTCACTGCTTAGCACTCTGCTCAGCCACTTGGCCTTGTTAATTCTCAAACACACCAAGTACATTTCTGCCTCAGAGCTGTTCTCTTGCAGTTTCCTTTGCCAGAATATTCTTCCTCCATCTAGCAGATATCCTCATTGCTGACCCTGCCTCCTTCAGTTCTTTATCATTTTCTCAACAAGGTCTTCCTAACCATCCAACTTAAAAGTACATCAAGAGCACACCCACTATTCTGTATACTCCCTATATCCCTGCTTTATTTTTCTTCATAGTACTTATCACCATTTAATATACCATACACTTTTTAAAACTTTTTATTTGTCCCCCCTTCATGTGCACACACTAGAATGTAAGTTTAAAGAAAGCAAGGATAGCCCTGGCTGGGTAGCTCAGTTGGTTAGAGCATTGTCCTGGTATGCCAAGGTTGTGTGTTCAATCTCTGGTCAGGGCACATACAAGAATCAACAACAAATCGATATTTCTCCCCCCCCACTCCTTTCTCCCCCTTCCTCTCTCTAAACATCAACTTTTTAAAAGGCAGGGATTTTTATTATTTTTGTGCACTGATGTATTCCTGGCACTTAAAATGATATCTGGCATAAAAAAGGTTCTCAGTATTTGTTGAGTAAATCAGAGTATATGAAAATATATGTAACTTGTAAGCTAATACTTCTACTTCCAAATTTATACACAAAGAAACCCCTATGTGTGTACAAAGATACTTATACATGAGAATGTTCATGGCACCATTGTCTATAATTGGAGGAAATTAGAGGAGGGGAATCTAAATGTCTAGAAATTAATGGGTAAGTGAAATTGAGTGTATTTCTATACTGTAGTATCATACAGGAGTGAACGTGAGTAAACTAGATCTGAACATAATTAGATCTTAACAAGGTTGAATAAAAAAAGCAAGTTGCAGAATAGTGTGCATGGTATAATACTATTAAGTAAGTTTTGAAAACATAAATAATGCTATTTTAGATATAAAGTCAAGACAACAAAGTGTAAATACACGTAAGTATTCAATCTATTATTTTCAGAACTTTTCCTGCATTTTGGGTCACCTCAATAAATTCAATAAAAAGGGAAAAAAATAAAAATTAAAAAGTTAATGAAAGAGAAACTAAGGCCCAACAGCAAGATTAGTGAGTTGCTTAAAAATCATACACCTTGTTAATGGTAGAGCTGGGGCTACATCTTAGAACTCCCACCAGTATCTCCAAAATATTTTTTAACAAGTTAAAAACTAGTTGTTTTGGATTAATAAGACTCTATTTCCTGAGAACTCCTGTACTGTAGTAAATATCTCAATATACTTATATTTTATTTATCTCTAAATATTTTAAAGAGTAATCCTGAATATCAAAGTTGTATTAACTAGCAGAAAGAACAATTATGATTAATATAAAATTCAAATCTATTACACTTCGAATACAAGCAAAGTGGTTTAGAAAGGAGCTTTATAAATTGGTTCACTTTGTTAAAAAGAGCTACATTGCCCAGGTTTCAAATTATATGTGAATATCACTGCTAATATCTATATTTTTTGAGTATAAGTGCTTGGGGACTCAATTTTTAAATTTTATTTTATTTTTTCCATCACCATTTATCCCCTCCATGCCCTCTTTCACCTCCACATACCCCCTCCCCCCACAATCACCACACTGTTGTTCATGTCGAGTTCTCTCTTTTTTTCTTTTTT